GTTTCAAACTCAATAAATGGAAACACATCCACCCAATTGCCCAAATCAGAAGCTTGGGATTCGTTCGTAATACCCTTCTCTCCTTTACCACCCACTCCTGATCAATCCAATCTTTCTTTCAGTCTTGTCAATTCTACCCTCAGCGAATGCCTCAAATCTTTGCCCACCTCCCCACCTACGCTGCCATCTCCCTTCCTCTCTCACCACTACTCCTACCGTAGCCTCTTAAAGAATCTACTCTTGCCCCTTTCTAATGCACCTTCCATATGATAGCTGGGGTGCTTTTCTCAAAGTATAAATCAGATCATGTCATTGCCCTCCCTAAAAATCTGAAGTGATTTCTCAATATACTTAGAACCAACTCTCAATTCCTGTCCATGGTCTACAAAGGCCCCTGTGGTCTAGCTCCTGATTCTCCCTCCAAATTAATCTTCTACCAGTCTCTCTGCTTGTGCCATGCTGGCTTCTTTCAGGCCTCTGACCATGCCGGGGATTTACATGGTTGTTTGACCTGTGCTCACTCTGCCCAGTACACTCTACCCCTCACTCTTGGCCTCGCTAACCCATCCTCCTTTTTCAGCTTAAAGCTTACTTTAATAAAGAGGCCTGTACCCTGAGTAAATGATGTCCTTCCCCCACCTCGCAGTACCTTATGTATTTCCTGCATCTCAGTTATCATAATTTATAATAAATACTCCCCTGTGGATTTACTTGTGTAATGCTTGACTCTTCAACTAGACTATGGGCTCCTCCAGGGACAAGTCTGTAATTGTCCTTTGTATATGCAAAGTCTAGCTCAGTGCTTAGCACACAGTAGGTGCTAAATTTGTAATTTCTGTGGTTGCATATTGATCAGAACTGAAAATATCAACAATGCTTATCCCATGCTAAAAAGTCCAACCAAATGGGTGATAAGATAATGAAATATAGTCGACTATGTCCTTTTTCTCCAAACTTTTTAGTTCCTAACCTCTAGAACCTTCCAGCGCTCACTCATTTTCTTTCTAAAACTTCCCAGTTTTTGGAGTTGAGAAGGGAAGTATCTTGGTGTTAATGTTCCTTTGCTTTGCCTCCCCCCTTCCCCCAGACACATTTCGCTTTGTGCAGGAACGTGGCTTCCACAGGTATGGTTGGGTGAGAGGTGTTGGGAACAGGAGGGGTGGAAAGGGAAAAAAAAGGAACCGTATGGGGGAGGTGGCTGCCCTTGCACAGCTTGGACACCGTCCCAGCTCGCCCACGTTGGAGTTTTTTTTTAATGCCATATACATCCAGTATTCTCTTCTTCCCACCTCTAGGAATCCAAAAATAAATGAGCTGTTGATCAAGGGCTTGGTGCTGGCAAAACTGGCAAGTATGGGCAGACGGGCTCCCAATTCTAGAAGTTTTCTCTTGCCATACCACCGCTGACCCCAGCCCCCTGCTGAGATTGTTGAGCACCTATTTCTACTAAGTCCGCTGGGTATTTTTTTCCATGTATGTCCCTATTGTTATAGATTGCAGGAAGCAGGATATGGGCTTTTGAGTAGTTTTTGACTTTAACAAAAGTCTGTTGCTTCATCTGCTGAATTACTGCTTTGTGCTGTTATTATAGTGAAGGCCTTACTTCTCTCCAGCACCCATGCTCCTATTTTCTCTCCTCCTCCCTATCAAGAACAACTTGCTCCAATCCCTTTTTATATTCACCTCATCATTTGTGAATCCACTCTGCATTTGTTGCAGAGATGGGAGGGCTAGATGCAGGGATTCTCTTAGGAGGATGGCGGTGTTGGCCCAGGGCTCCTCCTATCACCCAGGTCAGCCCTTTGGTAGAAAGTTATCCAACCATCTTGTTGTAGTAACTCACCCATCAACTCAATTGCTCGAAAAATGTACAAAAATCCACCTTGTTGATCCTAGAAAACAGCCCTGATACATTTGGACTTTGTTTATACCTTTTGCTAAGACTGAAGTTAACTCAAAACAATCTTTTCCATTTGGGTGCAGGGGAGGGGTAAGGAGGGGCTAAGGTAGAAGGAGGAGGGAGAAAGAGGAAGAAGGTACCAAAAAGGAGGATCTAATACTGGATTTCAGTTCCCACTACTGGGAAAAGGTTCATTTCCAATTCTGCATTTCAAGAACAAAAAGACTTTCTGATGATCTTTTTTATTCTCTTTGGATCAGTATGAATCCTTAGCAGTTAATTTATGTCTTCCTGTACTTAAAAAGTTAAAATATTTCGGGAAGTGAAATTAATATATTTAAGGATGGTTACAAAGTCAAGACAGGGCACTTTAAATCACTGTTCTCCAGACATAATCTGAGTCACAGAATCTGTTAGGGAATAACCTGAAGGGTTTACTTAACTATGATAGTTCACTCATTAGTTTGTCCGTTCATTCAACATTCAACAACTACTTTGACCTGTGCATTATAATATCCTAAGTACTTCTCTACCCCCATTGTCCTTGATTCTCACGAGAACCCTGTGAGGTAGTCCTTTAACAGAAATTACCATTTTAGAGAACAGGAAACCGAGACCCACAGAAGTTAGTCAGTTATGGAACTTTAACTGGAACCCAGATCATCAGATTTCACATCAAATTCTCTTTCAGTTCTACCTAACTTTAATTTAGCCAACATTTCCTAAGTGAGCAATGTGTTGGACACAAGACTCGGAAAACAAAAATGAAGTACTCTTACCCGTGAGGAGCATCTAGCCTATTGAAGAAAGGCAGAGATCAAGGCAGGGGTGTGGGGTGGAGGTAAGTGCATGGGTCCTCGGAGTCTGGCATAGAAAACAGTTGTAGGAGACAAGACTGGGAAATATTTGAGGGACTCAAGTACTTCATTTCTCGATTTGCCATCACCACTATCAAGTCTTCTTAATCTGCCTTCACAAAATTTGGCTTTTATTAATGTCAGAAGTAATCTTTTTCTGTCCCACTTTCTTTTGAACACTTGGCTGGCATTGTAGTGCCAGTGTCTCCAAAGAGTAAGGTTGTTCTTGGCACCCTGATGTTCCCACATTGAACGCTGCTGGACTAACTAACGGTACGACTGCTGCAATCTTGTCTGGTGGTATTCTGCATGTATCATTATATCCAGTTCATCCTTGCCTGGCCACAGAGAGGAAATGGTTACAACTGCTGGCAAATAGGCCCAGCCCTAGGTGGGCTGGGTCTCGGTGACTACAGTGCCATGGAAAGTGGTCTGGATGCAGGGCTGGCAGCTGGAGAGATCATCTGCCCGTTTATCACCCAAAGGTCTGGGATGCCCAGAGGGTTGAGGTGAGCTTGGGCTTATTGTTAAGTAGGCATCATCTATTAGGTGTGCACTTCCTGCTAGGAATGCGGTTGGGTTCTGACATCCAGGCTGCAGATGTTACTGGACACTGTGTGCTCTGGGAGAGCATGATGCTGGGTGATCTGACTGTTCATGGTAGAACCTGTCAGGTACAAGAAGATACAAAAATCAGGTGCAGGCAAAGCTCTGGTCAGCATACTGAGCCCAGCTGGTGATTGTGGGGGTGAAGAGAGCCGAGGCTGTGTGTGTGTCCAGACTCATGGGGATCTTCCCACATTGGGTACTGGGTATTGCTGGATGGTACATTTGAGATGGCTGGGTTATATCTTGTTCTAACCAATATGGGCTGAAAAATGCAGAGACCGAACCTGCCCAAGGGCAGGGGGGTGTCAATGCCTCACACTGATGGCAAAGTGGGAAGTAGGACACAGCATCTGAGAAGAAGCCACAGAGTTTTGTTTGGCTCAGAATCAGGACACTTGGGGCCCAGTCCTGGGTTAGGGACTATCTTTTGCATGACTTAAAGCAAGTTTTAGCACCTTTCTGAGTCTCTGTTTCCTCAGGAGATTGTATGCCCCCTGGGGTCAGGGTCCCATATTGTATTCACGTTTGTTTCCTCAGCATCTAGCACAGTGTCTCCTTCACAAAAGACTATCAGTGAACATGCGTGTTGTTTGAATGAGTGAATGAGTGAGTGAATAGGGTGAGCTTAGTGTGAGGAATGACATTAGTGGTTTCAGGGAAGAGGGGCTTATCAGAAGCATGGTCCTCACCCTCACCCCCTAGATTCTGATGTCTACCGCCATGCCCTTTTCCAAAAACCAGTGATTCAATAATAGTAAACTCCCCAAAGTTCCTAATAGCCTGTGATTCTCTGAAGAAAAACAAAACAAAACAAAACAAAACATTGAATAGTTTATTTTAAAAAAATTTTTGCCTTAGCATTCACTAGCCAAACATGTTATAAGAATCAAAAATACATGTCCGGTAGCCCCCAGAGAACTCCAGAAGGCAGTCTTATCTACCAGGAAAGCTCCGGGGTGGCCTCAGAGAGAGAGCAAAGTAACAAGGAAACCCTTTGACATTTGCAAATGCTGTGAAACACCAACAAACAAGAGACGCACACTAAGACCCAGGGGGTGGAGATAGATCAAAGATTTACATATCTGCCTAATCTCATTTGGGTCAACGTGCTCCGCAAAGGTACTGTTTGTTGTTGTGGAGACAAGTGTCTCCCAGAGTGAAAGGTCTTCTAGAGTGAGTGGGCTGCTCTACTTTTGCTCTAGGTCCTAAAGATGTGGGCAGCATTAACTTGAGGCCATTCAGACCTATGAATTAGGCAACTAGTTGCATTTAAAAGACTTCACTTAGGGCTTTTCAGTGTCGTAGGTGTGTCCTTGTGAGATAGATAGATAGATGACAGATAGGTAGATAGATAGATAGATAGATAGATAGATAGATAGATAGATAAAGATGGATAGATATATATCAAACTAATACACAAACATAACATAATTTGGAAGATAAGGAAAAAAATAAGGGAGAAAATCATTCATAATCCCGCACTTTAAGACAGCCAAAATATTTTGTTTATTGTGTATTCTTGTTTATATCATTTATTTTCTATGAAGAGTATTTTTAAACATAGTTATAAATATGCCATATACGTATACATATATATATATATCCTACTTCTTTTCACTTTATCTGTTACCGTATTTTCCAATTCCAATCTTTAAAAATTAGTCAGATTATACTTCATCATTCTCCATCCAACATCTTTTCCCTCAAGTCAGTCACAATGGGACATAGAGGTTGTGCAAATTTTTTGTTGTTAGATATAACACTTAGACACCTATATTCATTCAAAGACTTTTCCCCTATATGTTTGAATTTTTTCCCGTATGTTGTATGCACCTCAAAGATGGGTTCCTAGAAGTAGAATTACTGACTCCAAGGGCTGGACTGTTGGTGATTCTGGAGACATGTGACCAAATGGATCACCGAAAGCGTCATGCTAACCAAAATGTAGTATGACAGGATTATCTCACTGCATTTCATCAAGAATTATTTAAATGTCAACCTCCATAGTGAACATAAGTATTGGTCCAAAGATTTTATAACCACTTGGCAGAGAGGATGATAGATGTGGGAAAAGAGAAAAAAAGGAAGACACGCTTAAAACTCAAGTACAGCATGGGAACTAGACACCGTTGGTAACTGACAACTGGTTAGAAATGAATGAGGTATTCTGAAGTAATGTACATCAATGTAATACCAGCCTTCAGCTTACCAAAGTGGATACAGCAGCAAAATAAGTGATTCAGGGTGGACTGGTTGACAGGAATCGACTCTACCACTAACTTTGGGGGTGGTCTTTGCAAACCATTTGCAAAACTAATAGGTTGAAGGCTGAGGAGAGTTTATAGTGTCAGATCCAGATGATGAAGACAAAGTCACAGAGTCATGGGGTCCAGTCAGCTGTTTTCCCTAGACACCCAGAGTTACAACACTGATGGGATCCACAGTTCTATCGGAGTTGTACAATGAAATAGCAGACATTCTGGGAAGCTCTTGGGGCTCCTCCAACCTCAGTTATGAATCCTCAAGCTCTGTGTGTCTCATTTGGATGGATGGTGAAGATTTTTTCAGGGCCGTTTCCATAGAGAATCTCCACAGAAAAATGTTGAATAAGCCTACCGATGAGGTGGCTTGGGTCATCTACCACTATAATGACCTTTGGCCTTTGGTGCCTCCAGACAGTTCTCTATCCAGATGATGACATGCAGAAATTAGTTAAATTGCTTTCAATTTAGTAAACTAAAAGAATAAAGGCAGGTTCCCTCATTTTCCAGACTCTATTTTGGGGGCAGGACCTCTCAGATTTCAAAAGAAGCCTGGGTCACTTTTTGGAGGCTTCTAGTATGGGGGGGAGAAAAGAGAGAAAGAGAAAGAGAGATTATATGTGTGTGTGTGTGTGTACAAATATCTATATCTATATCTATATCTATTTATCTATCTGGTTTTTTAACGCAAAAAATGAGAAGATAGTACACAGAACAATCCTATACCCAGTTTCCCCCATTATTAACATTTCACCTTAGTATGGTACATTCGTAACAATTGATGAAACAATATTCACACAGTATTATTAATTAAAGTCCATCATGTATTCAGGTTTGTTTAGATTTACCTTCTGTCTTTTTCCATTAAGTACTACTTTACATGAAGTTATCATGTCTCCTTAGGCTACTTTTGGTTGTGGCAACTTGTCAGACTTTCCTTGTTTTTGATGACCTTGACAGTTTTGAGGAGTACTGGTCAAGCATTTTGTAGGACGTTCCTCTACTAGAATGTGTCGGATGTTTTTCTCATAAAGAGACTGAGGTATGGGAGGAAGACCACAGAGTAAAGACCCATTTCACCACCTTATATCAAAGGTACATACAATCAACACGGTTTATCATTGTTTGTTTGTTGTTTGTGGTTTATCTTTGTTGATGTTGACCTTGATGTCCTGGCTGATGTACTGTTAATCTGGTTTCTCCATATAAAATTACCTCCCCCATTCCCCTTACCATACCACAGTCTTGGGAAGCAAGTCACTATGCCCAGCTCACACTTAAGGAGAGGGGAATTATACTCTCCCTCCCTCAGGGGAGAATATCTACATAAATCATTTGGAATTCTTCTGCATGGGAAATTTGTCTCTTCCATTCATTAATTTTTCCCATAATTTATTTATATCTGTGTAAACTTGTGGACATTTATTTTATACTTTGGGTTATAATCTAGTATTATTCTATCTTGTCACTCAAATTTTGCAGCTTTGGCCATTGGGAGCTCTTCAGGTAGCTCCAGTGTCTCAAATATCCCCCAGCAATGCAGGGATTTTTTGTGTGTTTGTTTGGTTTCTTTTTTTTTTAGCAAATCCTTATTTTATGGTACAATCTGGGCATTAGGTGTGCTCATTGCTACTGTGGCACTATAGCTTCTAGTCCAAATATATTTAAAAATTTACATTTTAAACACCAACATACACACAATTACAGTACAATCACACAATTCATGACAATTCCGGATGTAGTAACAGCATGAAATCACGGCACCATGGGAGACTGGGAGGGCTCCTACACTGGGTCCTGCGGCAGGACCCACACACAAAACTTGTGTGTGAAGTCTTCTTTCAATCCTGTCAGTGTACCACTAAGACTGAAGCAGAACCTCAGTGGAGAGCATGTCCAAAGTCCAACTCTGAGGACTTCTCTGAGTGTAAGGCCACAGCAAATGGCTCTTTTGCAGGGATGCCCACCTTATGTCCTCTTTCCATGATAAACTATGGAAAAAAAAACCAAAAAACAACAATGGATTTAGAATCAGAGCATCAGAATTCTCGATCTGGCTCTATCTGCGATTCAATGGATGTGGAAAATGACTTCTGTCTGGGCCTCAGTTTCCAATTCTATACCATTGATAGCACTGGATTGGATTGTTGCTAAGGACTCTCCTAGTTCTAACATATTATAACTCAGTAGTTCTACACTGGGAGAGTGTAATTGACTCGTCTCCTTGTACGTGGACAGCAATATACCAGAGGATCTAAGCCAAAGGAGAAATCGTGATGGTAGGGAGGTCACTGCTAATAAATAGGGGCTGTTTTATTACTTCCTGAGGATGCCGAGAGGTCTGTTAAAGACCTTATTTCATTTAGACAATCAGGCCTGAGAAACTTCAGGAACCTTTTGTTCTAAAGAATGGAGATCAAAAAAAGTATAGGAAATACTGATTTAAAGTATCTCTTTTATTGCCTTCAAGTTTGTTCTGGAAGATCAAGGCTTTTTTTTTTTTTTCTTTTGGTAAGGGCAAACTCCTCATCTGTTATTTCCTCTAACTTCAAATAATTACCTTTAAGGTAGTGATGGCTGATCTACCTCTAAGTTTCTTACTAGGAATCTCTCTCTAGGTTTTTTTTTTTCTTTCCTTCCTTTGTGTGTGTGTGTGTGTGTGTGTGTGTGAGAGAGAGAGAGAATGTTATGACATATTTTTCACATCCACATGGGGCCCAGTGGCTTAAAGACTGCCCAGTTTACAAGTGTCATCTCCTTCCTATCATTGACTGGGACAGTTTCCAAATACAAACAGAAGGCAAAAAAAAAAAAAAGGAACGATAATGCTGAAGAGACACTTGGGAACTGTCACAGCTGATTATGAATGCTGGAGATCAAAGGTACAAGGTCTTAGAACCTGTCTCCTCCAGCTCAACGTTAAAAATCTTCAATTGGTTTTTGGACCCACTCAGCATAACCCCAGACTTTGGTCTACAATTGGTTAAAAATTGATAGAGGTGAGGATTCTGGGACTGCCTTCTTTACTTAGAAGTTTAAATTTTAACCCCTGCCCCCATGCCAGGTACAGCTCCTTTCCATGCCCCCCCCCAACCTCAAAGTTATGTAAAGATGTATTTTGATATAAAGGTATAGAATTTAGAACAGATAGACATCACGCAAATCATCGGGGTTATTTCTTCACACGGCTGAGGAAACTGAGTCCTGATAAGTGGTTTTGCTCCAGGTTCCGTAAGGGAGTTCCAGGCAGAGCTGTAATTAGAAGCCAAGGTTTTTTTGGCAACAAATCCAGGTTTGTTTTTTTTTTTTCCTTCCTACCTCACACCATGCCCCTGCGAGTTACGTGTTTGTGTGCGCGTGCGTATGTGTGTGTGTATGTACATATGTTACATAGACATCGACATGTAGGAAACATGCACCACGCATCTGTAGTCTGACCTCAGGGAGCAGGGTAATGACTCGAATTTCAGGCAGCTGAAAGCTTTCTGCGGGTGGAGGGTGAAATAAACAAGAAAAGCCACTGTGGAGATGTGAATGGAAAAGTACCGAAGCTCTCCCTCCCTCCGCACATTCTTCGGCTCTCCAACTCTGCCTGCCAGCCAGCCGGCTTCAGATAGGCTTCTGCACGGTCAGGTGTACAGAGGGCGGTGTGGAGAAGAAGGGGAAAAAAATGCAGGCACAACACGCAAATCAAGTTTTTCCACTTCTAGCCTTAGGTAGTAAAGACAGCTAAGTACCGGCAGGCGGCCGCAGGGAGGGTGGGCCAGCTACCCAGAGTTTACAAACACTCCAGTGCTTTCCTCTCTTCATCCCTTCCTGGTCCAGCTGCTGCTTTCCTTCATGCTAGAGTTTCATAGGAAGTGAAAACCCTGCTATTCAAAACAGTGATCCAATGCAATAAACAAATGATTAGGCGCCCCCCATCACTTCTCTATTTTAAGGTCCCGATATTTATCTCCATTTTTAAAAAGTGAGAAAAGTGTGGAAATCAGTGTTTTGGGGGGAAAGTCTGAGTTGGGCTAGAAAAGGTTTCTAAAGAAAAAAAAAGTCTCAGAATAAAACAGGCTGAAAGCAGGCAGCATATGGATCAAAATTAAACGTTGACACTTCTTTTTCAGAAGGTAGTAGCTGGAAATCGTCTTCTGTTTTTTCTTTTACTGTCTCAAAACTTTCTGCTCAATTTCTCTAAAATATACCAAGAAATCTCCCTTCTTTCTCCAAGGATAGTATAGGGAGCTTGTCTACAATAACTCTAAATGAAGGATTTGAGAGAAAAGGAATAGGTAAAATTTTCTGCATCGGGTGGACAGCATCTCCCACACCCATCAGAAGGAATGTCGAGTACGGTAGCACAGGTAACAAACATCACCAAACCCAAATGTCTATCAAAACTCAGTAGTAGCGGGCGCCTGGGTGGCTCAGTTGGTTAAGCGACTGCCTTCAGCTCAGGTCATGATCCCAGGGTCCTGGGATCGAGTCCCGCATCGGGCTCCCTGCTCTGCGGGGAGCCTGCTTCTCCCTCTCCCCTCCCCCTGCTTGTGTTCCCTCTCTCGCTGTCTCTCTCTCTGGCAAATAAATAAATAAAATCTTTAAAAACAAACAAACAAACAAACAAACAAAAAACTCAGTAGTAGCATCATGACCCGGAGTTCGTTCTGAGGACCAATTTGCAGTTAACGAGGAACCCAAAGCAGCCTTGCTTTCCCCAATTCTGCCAGAAAACAGGACACCCTCCTCCAAAGCCAGGCAGTCAGATCACCCTCATTCTCTGAAATGATGCAGGACCGTCAAACGAAGACCCATTTTCAGTTGCGTCCCGGGGTCACGCACGCCTCTGGTGAGGGCCAGCCTGTCCTCTCAAAAGAGAGAAGCCTAGGGGAGTTGCGTGATTGATCTGCAAGGTTCCTTCCAGTTCTCAAAGCTATAATCCTGAGATGTGATAGCTTAAAGATCTACCAAGGTACCAGAAGCTCCTTGACAGGTGAAACCGACTTCCTGTTGGGAGCCCCCTTAAAAAGAGCACAAGGCAGTATTTATTTATTCCAAGGATAGCTTCCTTTTCAGCTTATGACTGAATTGTGGGGAACTGGATGCAAAATCTGTTCCTTTCCCTGAATAGATGTAATATTAGGACCAGGCTATTTTATTTGTAACAAAGCTTATATTGACCCGGCAGCTGCATTCAGGAACCTATTACTATGCCCAGTCCACTGGGCAGAGGGGCTGGCCTGGTCCTCTTTTCTGAGTATTAATAGCCAGTGACCATTAAATCATAGCACCGGTTGATACATAGTCCCTCCAAGTCTGCAGGAATCACTCATAAGACCCCAGACACGGAAACTCTCTTTAGAGCTTCTTAAGGATGATTTAAAAGAATTTGAATATATTCAAGTCAATCCTTTCTTTAATCCTATAACATAGCACTGCTGGAGTGAGGGAGCCCACACGGTGATGCCAACTGGCTACTGATGGGGAGAGATCAAGAATGAGAGAAAGAAGGACAGTCTGGAAGAAATTCAACTGGTATAAAATTTGACAGTTACCCTCCTAGGATTTGGAAAGAGATTGAGAGGTGGGTGCACAATTTTCCTCACTGTTCATTCAGTAGAGAGAAAGGGATCTACCTAAAGTCCCGAGCTTTAGAATATTTTCAATATTTTTTTTCTTTTAACGGCATCCTTCTGATCAGTTTCTTTCAATGTAAACACTGATTTGGCAAAAAAACAAAAACAAAAAACAACGTCATAGAAATATGGGACTCTGGCACTTGGTCCAGAAATAATGTGCTGAGAAGGTTTGAGGTCCCTGGTGGTGGGTTTAATTATCTATAAACTAGGCCTGGTGGGTTCTCCCTCCAAGGGCTCCCTGCAAAGAATTAAAAAGGTCTGAGGTACAAGAAGGGTGAATTCCTTCCCAGCCCCCATTCTGGCTAGTTCTACTGCCAGTGGGAGCAGATTTCCCTCTGCTCTGCAGCGCCCCCATGGGGCTAAGATTGGAGTGGCAAAGAGAACGCAGAGGGACAAACTGTTTAACGTTGGGGTTGGGGGGGCAACGGCAGGAGACCAATGAGGCAGGCAGGATGGCAACTTTGATTAGAAAAGTGACCAAAAATCATAAAAGTAATCTCCATCATAGGATCAATAATAGGGCAGAGCCATACATTTCACATTCCAAACCATATATAGATACACCTGAGAAACCTTAGTTCTTACTGCTCTCAAAGATAGAAAAAATATCATACATATAAATGTACGGAGAAAATCACTTCAGCAAAATCGGGGTATCGTTTTGAATCCAGTGGAATTCATTTAAAACTCTGAAAAGGAAGGGGAAGGAGACAATAAAAAAAGCAGATAGTCCGCCTTCTGGCAGAATGAATCTGCACTTGACAATATCATGTGTCTTTGGGGGTAAAATGTTCATTTCAACAACAGTGACAGGATTAGGCCCATGTATATTTTTCAAAAATCCTTTACAAGACAGGCTTTTCTGCAGAGGCTGCAGTAATCCATCTGTCAATAAGTATTAAAATATTCAGATTTCATAGGAACAGACACTTATGCATATTTCCTAAGCTCCAGACCTTGTGGAAAATAATCAACCCCTTTGGACCTCTTCTGGTTCTAAAATTCCCAACACAGCCTTTCAAAGGTGGTGGCGGTGGGGGGTGCATTGACAATAACATTTTCAGCAACAGATCTGAACTTCTTACGGACTTTTCCTGGGAAAGAGATCCCAAATACCCCAGGAAACAGCCAGTAATCTTTCGTAGCTCTGCTCACTTCTCCATTATAAGCCCAAATTCGAGGTTGGGAGAGGTAGATTATTTGGGGACCTATCTTTTTTGGAAACTAACATGTGCAGAAATTTTGTGGAACCTTTAAGAACTCATCTGTAATTTAATGAGTCGCCTGAAGGACTCTCATAGCCAAGGCTCAGAACAGCCTGACCTTTGAAAGCTGCTTCTGGCCCAAACATTTTGGGTTAATTCTTGAGGAATCTGAAATATTATTTTCCCCTCACACCCTTCTTTTAAGAGAGAGACATAAAAGAAACAAGAGTCTCCCTCATTCGGGGATGAGTAGGAGGGGAAAAAACCCCAACCAACATTTAAATAGGGAAACTGGCAGTTCTGAATAAACAAACCAAGGCCCATAATGAAATGATTCTGCACTGCATTTGCCTTTAAAAAGAAAGGAAAGAAGAAAGAAAGAAAGAACGACTTCCCCCCTTCTCCTCCTCCTCCCAAGTGAGCTCCGAAGCTAAGGAGCCTGTGCCGCGTGCCGAGCGCTGTAGTTGTAGCACAGGCTGTTCTAAATACACGCAGTTTCTGTGATACTGGCACGGCAGGCCTTGAGAATTCCCTCCGGCTGATCTCTTAAACACAGACAGAAGAGATTTTTTTTACAACGACCTTGAAACGAGCGGGGGGTGGGGGTGGAGGGGGGGGCGCGGGGGATCAAGACCTTAAGAAAAAGCAAAACACAAACATGTATTTGGCTCACATAATTTTGTAGAACACATGCGTACACATACCCAAATACACACACGTTTCCTTCAACCAAAAATTTCCTAACAGTCAACAGTAACAGACAGAGTAAACCCACCACTCGCTGTCCTGGAAAGAAACAAACCAAACCAAAACAAATCCTTTGAACATGTCCCTCAAGTGCAGGAGAGCCTCCTCTCAGTAAAAAGTCCAAAGAGAAGGAGAAAATTGCACCCCCCCCCAAAAAAGTGGGGGTTGGGATTGTTACATGCGATCAAAAATTGAAGCTGCTTTCAATAGTATCAATATTTAACACATCCTCTTTAAAACGCTTGAGAGATTAGATAGGGAAAAAAGGCACACATACACGAAACAAAATCCAACCGATGCGGGATCCTACTATTTACGTAACACCACAAACTTACAAAAGGCAAAAATCAGAAGCAAAAAAAAAAAAAAAAAAAAATCCGAAAATCATCACACAACCAACCCAAAAATCCCAACCAACCACATCAACGAGGAAAAAACAAAACAAAACCAAAAAACGTCCCAAATAAAATAAAGCAAACGAACCCACCGAAAACTGCTTGGCAAATATTTTTCTCGTGGTGCCTAATATTCTAGCTGGAAAGAGCTGTGGTGTTTATTGTTTTTTGCTCTTACTCGCCTCTAAAGCTACTATATATAACAGACTTTTTCCAACGGGTCGAACCTCTCGCTCCCTTTTGTGTATTTAGCTCGAGGAGCTGAGTTTATGGGTAAGAGAGGAGGAATTAGCCCCAGACCCCGGGAAAGCAAAGCGCACTCCCCCTCTTATGTCACCGAATAGCAAATTAGTTCTCAGAATTCCAGAGGCCGAGCTTTGCTACAGCGAAGACGCCGACGTCACAGAGGGGGCGCCCACGTGACGCTGGCGGAGCAGGCCGTACCATCGTGCGGGGCCCCGGGAGGGAGGGACGCCGTCTGGCCCCTCGAGCCTCGAACCGGAACCTCCAAATCCGAGACGCCCAGCCGCTGAGGACCTCGAAATCTGCCGGAAACTGGAAAAACACTGTGGCTTTGAGGGCTTTCCGTGGGCGCAAAGAGGCAAAAGTCCCGGAGAGCTGACACCGAGTCCTCCCCTGCCACGTAGCAGTGGTAAAGTCCGCAGCTCAAATTCCGAGAATTGAGCTCTGTTGATTCTTAGAACTGGGGTTCTTAGAAGTGGTGATGCAAGAAGTTTCTAGGAAAGGCCGGACACCAGGTGATTATTGCTGTTGCTGCTGCCGCTGCTGCTGCTGCCGCCGCCGCCGCTGGTGCCGCTGGTGCCGCTGCCGCCGCCGCTGCTCATGATCATTATTTTACCTTTTAATTCTTTTTTTTTCCGCTCTTGCCAAATGCTTTGGCTCCAAGTTTCCTATGTGTATCTATTGATATAAATGTATATGTTTATTTATTCTAGCTGTCAGGTGTTAAAATAAATGCCGAAGATTAGTCCCACGTCTCTCCCACTCTAGGATATAGATTTTTATATATTTATTTTATTTTTGTTGTCTTTGAGTGCATCGGCCGGTTTGGGGAGGCTTTTGCCACCCTCCCTTGTGTTGTTTTGGTTTTGGAAAAGGAGGTGGAGGAGAGGAAGGAGGGGAATTAGGGGGCGGCCGGAGCCCAGAGGACGAGACAGTGTTTGGGGGGTGCTCCGGGCAAGTCTGGGGGCTGTCTGGCCCCAGACGACGGAGAGGACGCGCGCTCGCGCTCTCGCTCTTTCTGCTGCTGCTTGCGTACGGCTTGTGATCTCGCTGGATTCGGGCGGCTGTTTTTTCCCTCTTTCCTCGCTTGCAAACTGCCTTCCTCGCTCCCTCGCTCCTGCCTCCCCTTCCCTCCCTCCCTCCTCTCCCTCGCCTCTCCTTCCTTCTCCTCTCCCGTCCTTCTTGGTGACTCCGGGAGGCGAGGAGGGAGGCTGCCCGCTCGCTCGCCCCGCTGGCTCCCTTCCACCGGCCTCGCTCCTCTAGATTCCCTGCCTCGGAGCCGAGATTTGGGAGGAAAAATGCAAGCGAACTCCTCGGGTTTTGTTTCTCGGCCCCCCCCCCCCCCCCCCCCGCCAAGCCCAGTTGAAGTATCGTTTCTACTATTTCCTTTTAGAGCCGCGATCTTCCTAACGAGATCCGAGTGTTTTGGTGTCCCCTTACCCTGTGTTTTGGGGGAGGTTTAGCTTGCCTGGGGGCGGGGATGTTGAATACTTTGAAAATTATTCTTTCTTGGTTGCAGTCGAGGGAGTCGGGAAACCCCGCGCGCTCCCTCTCCCCATCCTGAGGAGAGAGGCTGGTGGCGGGACAGGGATTTGGGGGGTGGGTGGCAAAGGGGTGCGCGTTTGCACCTGCGGTGCCGTTTAGCGTGCGGGGACTCCGGGAACCTTCACAGGACGGCCCAGCCAAGCGGGAAGGTGGCGGGATTTCTGGCGGTCGCGGTGTTTGTGTTTTGGGCGCTGCGTGACTCGGTGTTAGCTCCCAATGGCTGTTCCCCCGCCTCTCCTAAATTTTGTCTTATTTTTTCCCATGGTGCGAGCTTTGTAAAAAGACAACTGCAGACCGGAGAGTAGCCGACGTCAGGCTTCAGGTTCCCGAGGTCCTTGCACGGGGCGAGGGGAAAAACAAACAGCCCCAGCCCGCGTTCCTACGTGCAAGACCCGGGAGGAGAGAAGGGCACGCTGTGGCCCTGGATGAGGGAGCCGGCGCGGGAGGAGGGGGCGCGGGCGCGAAAGGGAGATCTTTGTGAGTGATTTTGCAAAAACGGATTGCGAGATTGGTTGGATTTGCAACCTGTGGCTCTCCTCGAGGGAGTAAGAATGGGGGAAAGCGGCGGCGGCGGCGGCCCGGGGCGGGAGCCGGTGGGGAGTTGGAGCCTCGGAAATGGGCTGCGCTCCTGGGCAGCGGGAGCTAGGGGCCACCCCGCTGCGAGAGGTAGTGACCGTGGTCAGTGTCTTGAGAACTGTGGATTGCGTTGCCTTTTGATGCCGTGTTATTGGAACTCTGGCGAAAAATGGATCTAGTGTTACAATAATGAGTTTTAAAGGTCCCCCATGGAAAACAAAAACACAACCCAATAGATTAAAAAAAAGAAGAAGAAGAAGAATGAAAAAGACCCCTTTTATGGGGTGCCCCCCTTTGCAATGCTTAAGAGGTGGTGGTGGGGGTCCAGCAGCTGAACCGGGAGAAAGACCCCAACTAGGGTACTGAAAGTCCAGAGCTGTTACTGGGTTCCTGACCGCCACAGAGAGCTGGTCATCTCCCCCACCACCAGTAGCCACAGGAAACTGATTTAATCTTTTATGGATTTTTTTCCCCTCATTCAGTTTATAGTTTCCAGGAGGAAAATCTTGTAACTCTTTACTTTTTTTTTTTAAGTAAAGTATCAATAGATGCTTTTTTTTTTTTCCTGTCAAAAACAAAACAAAACAAAACCAAAAAACAAAAAAACTGGGCAGGACAGAGGGAACCAGGGAAAGGGCTGTTTAGAAATACAGTTTGTGGCTCTGAGCAGTGCCACCAGCTTCCTCTACAGAGACTGCCAGTTTCCCTTTTTCTTTGCAAGGTGTGTGTGGTTTTAATAAATAACTTAAAAAAATAAGAGGGGGGCCGGCAAGACCTGTCAGGAGACAGGTATCTATTTTGCTCACTATTTACTACCAAGAGCCTTTGGCACTGGAACAGAGCCTCGTAAATCTGCAGCCCAAGTTGAAGTTCATCTGGCCCTAGTCCACATGCTATTCCTGGAGGTAGCAAACATGAGCTCAAAGGAATGAGGTGAAATCACATTCTTGCTTTAAAATATATACCTTTGGGGGGGGGGTATGGAGAAAGCATATTGTCTCTGGGGGTAGGAGGAAATGGAAAGAGGGCACTAGGAGATGGGCATTCCCTTGCAAAAATGACTCCAGTTGGGTCCTCAGGCTGAAATAGAAACCTGTAGATGGGAAATATTCCCCCTCCCCCCACTTATAAATAGAAGTTTCCAATATCCTATTTGGAAGACTTTCCAATACTGCAGGCCCAAGCACTGGCTGATTTTTAAGGGTCTGTTGATAGTGACAATAAGGCCAGAAGCTGTTGGTAAACTGGGCAGCTTGAAGGAGAAGGAAGCCAGAACAGGGAATTCTCCAATTGGCCTTTTCTTCTGTGCTCAATTGTGAAGGGTTTTACCCCATGCTTTCTTGAAAAGACTCTCCAATTTATTCTGGGTTTGCTGGACAGGGATGGGACTCTAAACTCTTAAGCTGTCGTTTGCTGAGCCTTGAAGAGTTCCAGTTATTGGTTGAGTAAATGGTAGCCAGGACTAGATGTCAAAATCCTTCCTTCCCTCTCTCCCCTGCCCAGTAGCCACACTCACAACCCACTTTATTGTGAAAAACTTGAAGGAGGTAGTGCGGCAGCGCCACCCCTTGGTGGGTGAAACTCTATTTGCAAAAGTCAAATATTTGAAAAACATTGTGAAATGACCTTAGGAGGATTTTTTTTTCTTTAGAAAGGGGAGATAAAACTAACTTTAAAAAAAGGACGTTGTAGCTGATTTCTCAAATGGGGTGGAAAAGCGTTGCTTTCCAGCTAGGAGAGTGTCATAAGAGGCAAAGAAGTTCGAGAGTGTGTGTGTGTGTGTGTGTGTGTGTGCGTGCGCGGTCGGGGAGGGTTGCCTAGTTGGCTTGAAGTAGGTGAGTTCTCCAGACGGAGGTAGCCTCCTTCCCCCTTGGACTTGACTTCTCAGAGCACCTGAATTCTGTTGCTAGTCTGACACTGAGATAAGCAGGAATGTCTCGGTGTAAAAACAAACCAGTGATGGGAAGTCCTGTAGTTTTGCTGGCGGTGATGGTCGTGTCTACTGGGGGCTGGGTTGGGGACGGAGGTTTGTGGCGTGGGGCAATGGTAGGCTGGTCCGTAGCTGGGTTTGGAGCCTTCTGGGAGTCGAAGTAGTGTGGCGCGTGCCGGCTTCCTGCACTGCGCAACAAGTGGGAATGCCGCCGCAGTGATCCGAGCGAGGGTGCTGTGTAGTGGCGGAGCCGGCCCCTTTCTCTTCGCCCCACTGGAAGCCAGGAATGGCTCTTCCCAGTTCTCCCCGCCTCCCAGTCTGTGACCAGCAGCCCCGCCAAAAGACAAAACTCAGCCCCCCTTTCCCCACCCTCCGCCTTTAGCGAGCCCTGTAAACCTGGGCGGAACCCTGCCCTTGGCCTCCAGGGCCCCCTTCCTCCGTGGGGATCAAGAGTTTATTCCCGACTTTCTTTGCTGGTCGACCAGTGTTTGGCAAGAAGCTCTGCTAATACCTTCTGCTTTTTGAAGACAAGAGCACCCTTTCCTTCCCTTCTAATACATTCGGCCTTTCGGGCTGGAAAAATCAACGTATAATACATGAACCCTGCTCCAGAGACCGCGTTGTGGTTACTAGAGGAGTGAGCATCGGGAAGAACGGAATTACATCCAGTAAATTAAATGTTTTGCAGCGTTGCTTATAGAGGCCAACCTCCTCCCGCTAACAGATCCAAAAAAAAAAAAGTGGGGGGCAGTCGGTTGTGGAAGGCTGTGGCTGCGCGGTGATTTTCGAACGGACTGAGTCTGCCACCTAGTGGTAGATCCTAGCAGAGTTCCCCCCCCCCCCCCCCCCGCGCCTGGGGCGGTGGACCGACCCTGTCACCTTCGGATCTCCAAGTATCCCTACTAGGTGCTAGGACTGACAGAGGAGGGCAACATCCAATGAGGATGACATCTGACCTCCAAAATTTTGGTAAGGTGGATGAAAATTCGGAAGCCTCTAGATGCTTGCCCTGTCCACGGTCGCTCAGCGAGCGGCATGTGCCTCCCTAAGAGAACCTTAGTAAGATAACCCGTTTTGAACACACTATCTTTCTGTCACTGTGGTGTCTCCCTGGGTGAAGTGGGTAGTGGAGGGACGCTTGGAGGCTCTAGGACATAAAACTTTACAGTTGAGAAAACAGGCAGCCTCATGAGGGGGGGGCCTGTTGCTGGTGAGTTAGTACCCTAACTGGGACCAGATTTTTACCTTCTGAATTCCAGGCCAGTGACTTAAAGTCAAAGGCGAGTGTATCTCCGCTCCCTTGAAGTATCTAAGAGACAGGAGCAGCAGTAAGAGAGACCCACGATTTTAATGTCTCACATCAGCGAAGCTGGGAACAGCTCCCCAGATGTCTTGGAGGAATTCTAGAAAATATGGCATAAGATTTTCAGTGACAGATACAGGAAGCCTACCGCAGTGCTGAGGGGTGGAGGTCCCAGATCTTGAGGGGTGTGCCTGGGTTAATGGATGATTAAATCCCAGTCCCTAGACTTGTAGAGCCCGAGGCTCACATTTGGATTCTGAAATCACCCTCTTCCCCTTCCTTCCAAACTGCTTAGTGGCTTGGCGAGAGATCAATGGGTGTGTGTGTGTGTGTCGGGGGTGGGGGGATGGGGGTCATATGGACAGGCAGGGTGTAATCCTCATAGAATTTGGGCCACAATAGCTTCTTATTAAGCAAAGTTTTATTTTTTCGGAGTTCAAAACTTAAGATGGCAAAGGCGCGTAGGGGTGCCGGCGACCCCTAGCGACGACCGCCGGCGCGCACACTCTTGGGAGATGCTGCGGTCTCCACCGCCCCGGTCCGAGGAAATCGAGTTCAGCCTCTCCCACTGCGGGAGCAGTCGGAGGCCGCGTTGGAGAAACGCGCCTCTGTTCGGGTTGGAAACGAATCTGGGGATGTGTTTGAAGAGTGGTCAAGTTTGACTCATCGCTTTCCAAGGACAGTTAGTGCTTTCCATCTTCATTAACGTGAATAAAGACCTTGGCTGACTTTTGTCCAGATCGGATTTTTAAAGGCATTGTTTGGTTGGGGACATCATGCCGCTCCCCTCCCCCGGCTGCCTTTTTGCAAAGGCAGAGCCCAGTCCAGCCTGGATGGCCGAGATATCTTTGCTCGGGGACGTGGTTTGCTGGCATTGTCTGCTTCTGCTGGCTCTTTCTGGAAGGCTGTCGCGAGCTGGGCGCATGGGGAGCGTCCCTTCTGCAGCTCCTCTTCAGATCTTGATGATAAAACACATCCCTCTATTTTATTGCATTTCCTAGAAGCTTGCAGGCTTGAAAGAGCTCTACTGGCAGGAAACGTGATAGAAATAAAGTCAGGACATAATGTCCCCGAACACCTCGGTCACCCAAAGCGACTGCCGAGGCTACCGCGTTATCAAATTCGCTTTCATTTATTGTCGTCTCCTCCGCCCTCCCGCCCTCCAGTCAAGAGAGCGAAGAGTGTTTCACCCTTAAAACAAAAACAGCGGCGCGGTTTAACCCCACCCCCTACCGCTGGATCACCGTGGCTAAACTGGAGCAGCTAGTTAGCTGAGCCGCTGCGCAGAAAGGGAGCGCTCGGGCAGGAGCCCTGATGCTGGTTTCACTACGGCAGCTCCAGCCTTATTAAAATTCCTAGTTCCTACCCCTAAACAGTGCTTTGCACTTCCAGATTCTTCTTTGGATTTCTCGGCGAGTTATTGGAGTTATTAGATTACCAATAATCCAACGGCGGGCCGGGATTAGAGAAGGGACGCGGTGGGGGGGGGGGGGGGGGAGGCTGTGCGAAAGGCATTCTCCAAAGCTGGAGACTGTGTCTAAAGTAGGTCAATGGGAAGGAGAGGCGGGGCTACATGCGGGTTGTCGGTTTCAAGCCTTGATGGAGGGCTCTCTCTAGTGTTTAGCAGCGGTAAGACATGATTAGGTTTGAGCTCCCGGAACCACGGGAATCCTAATTTCCATTAAGTGCATGTACGTAATTTTAACTTCCCTTCCTAGATACTCACCCCATTCCATATTAAATTTCAACCTTCGCTTTCACCTTTGTTCCACCCGGCGAAGGGGTAAGAAAGTCTCAAAGTAGGACTTTATGAGGCCGCCGAGGCCCAGTCTTTACCGACGGCCCTGACCCCGCCTCCGCCGCTGATGGGATGCGCGGCGCAGTGTGACGCCACCCGCCACTTTTAGGACTGGACTGCGGCCTTAGGCGCCGAGTCTTTCGAGCTCCCCGCCCCGGAAAATTCCTCTCGGAGCCCACTACTAGGACCCATTAGGAGAGGGCGCCCAGGGGTTATAATTCCAAGGAAGGCCCAGAGAAAGCGAGGCGTCCTTGGAGCGCGCCCGTGCGCGCTCGGGTCAGCGCCCCGGCCTCTGCGGAATCCTTACCGGGTCTGTACGGTTTCGGGGAAATCGGATTCCGAAATCCCGAAACCTGGCCAGGTTCGGCCTGGGAGCTCCTATTCTAAAGACTTTGGGCGGAAACCGAGGCTAGCAGCGTTCCCCGACTTGCCAACGTAGGCGGAAGGGGCTTTCGGTTTGGTTTTCCTACAAGTCGTCTGGCGCGCGCTGGATGGAGACCCTCAGCCCTAGGGACTCCCATCTTTTTGACCTTGACGCCTGACCCAACCACCCTCTTAAAGGGGGCGGAGGCAAGCTAAAAGCAAAAAGCAAAAATAAATAAATGACGCATTAGGCAAACAGAGGCCAGAATTGGGCAATTTGAAGTCATAAAATGAACCTCAGACTGGACCCGAATTCCTAGGTTCTAGACTGGCTCTGCTACTAACTTGTGCGACTTTCCCCATTTATAAAAACTGTTAGGTGTAAGGGTTGGCCCGGGTGAACTGAGTCCTCGATCGGGCGCCGGCGAGGGATTTAGGGGAAAGTGTGCCTATTCCCCGCGAGCCTCCCCGGGCGCGCCCCGCCTCCCCCGGGTGAATCCCCGGCGGCCCTCGCGGCGCAGGCGGCGATCCTGGCGGCCGTCGAGGGCCGGCAGCTTCCTGGAAAGTTACTTCTCTTTGGAGCCGGCGATAGACAGAGTGTTCTGTGAAATCCGCTGAGCTGAGATCGACTACATTCCGGGAATGAGAGGGCTGTGCCATTCCCCTCACTACCCCCTGCCTTGACGGCGTAACAGGGGAAAAAAAAAAAAAAAGCACACACAATGTTAGCTACCGAAGTGCACGAAACGTTTTATTTGAATGTAGCCAAATTAAGGGCTGCCACGATCTCAGCACGGGGCCTCCGACGCGCCTGCGGGGGCTTCGCGACAGATGGGCAGCGGTGCCCGCAGAACGCCCGGGGGTGGGCGGTCCCTGGCGGATAGGTACGGTAAGGTCGGGGTGGGCGAATCTAGCCCGGGCTTGCCGCGGAGCGCAGGGCTCGGGTTTGTGTCCCTTATGCGAGCGCGAGAGGAAACGGCTGCTTAGTGCCCGCCGAGTGGAGGAGCCAGGGGAAAAGGATGGATGGGGGCTTTCGTATTGGCTCACTCTAGCTCTTAACCTCGCCTCTCGTCCTTCTCTCACCTCTTTTCTTGTCTCTCCGCCTTCGCCTTCTGCTGTCTTCTCTTCCCTCTGCCTTTTTAAGAGGGAAGGGTCCCTCTTTTTTCTTCTCCAGCTCCTTTAAAAGATCTGCCTTCTCCTCAAGGTGCCTAATTGCAAATCCAGAGATTTTTGAAAAGGCAGAAGAGAGAAAGTGTGTGGGTGGAAAGACCACGTTTAGGTCTGGCTTGGTGGTTACTGCGGCTGGGGCAGGATTGGTGATCCCGAGAGTCCAGGTCTGGGCCCTTGCAGTTGTCAGTTTCTCTTGACAGCCCTGCTCTCTTGGCAGGTGTTTTCGTGTTATGAGTATTGCGCGTGGCATGGGTGGGATGGCTGAAGCTAGGTGACGGAGTTTGTCCAGGACTTTGCTGGAGATTAGCTTTCAGTCTTGGGCGAGGCTTATCCGGTGGAGCCTCAGTGACCTTCTCAGTTAATCAGGGCTGTTATAAGGATCCCATACAGTAATGGTTGGGAAGGGGCTGAGTGGTCTGTAAGAACCAAAGCAGCTGCTAGGTGCTTCCACACTTGCAGCATCTAGAGCGAGGCATGGTTTCCCACATCCACCATAACACACACTCACTAACTGTGGCGTGCCTCTGAAGCTAGAACTAGCTGAAGAAGGAGTGGACTTAATAGGGATGTGGACCTCAGCAGATGTGCATTTGTTTTTGCCCAAGCCAGGCAGAGGCAGAGGATGAAAATGGCCCAGCCCCAGGGCCAGGCTGACAAGTAGACCCCTGGGAATGGGGAATGTTTTGTTTGTTTGTTTCAATCTGCATATGGAATGAGTCATTGCCACTTGCCGAGGTGAAATGGCAAATCTGGGCTTCCCATGGTTCCAAAAGTCTGTGACTGGGAATTCACAAGCGAGCTGGTGGTTGAAGCTGGCTAAAGGACAGCCTTAGGTATTCCAGAAGTGTTTAGGGATGTCTTTCATGGGGGAAGAGGAGATGGTTTATAAATGAAACTCTCATGTGTCTTTAGCATTCTTTTTCAACAGAGACAATCACTGAACTTTGGTTAGGACCGATCTAGTGTATCTCTCTTTGCCCATCTTGAGTTAGGATGGGAGAGGAGGAAATAGGTTCTTTTGTCTCTTTCTGTCCTCTCCCTTCAGCCATCCCCTTCCCTCATCCTCACTCACTCACATGCACACGCTAACCTTGAAGCCGATGGGATTGAGTGACTGGCACTTGGGACCACAGAGAAATGTCAGAGTGTTTGGTTACAGACTCAAGGAAACCTCTCATTTTAGAGTGCTCATTTGGTAAGATTCAGCAGCCTGGAATGGGGGCAAAGTGTTTGTGTGGGGGAAAGAACTTAAAAATGAGATTCACCCACATTAGGGTGCTGTCTTGCATGTTCTACAGCACGTAGGCTGATTTGGAAAAGGGACAGGAATTTGAGCCAGAAGACCGAGGGCTGGGCCACTAACCATCTACGTGGCCCAACATGACCTCCCTGGCCTCAGGCCCCTTTACCCGGAAAATAGCTCTAAAGAGCTATGCTTTAAAAAAAAAAAGGTGGGGGGAGTGGAAGAGGATTCAGATATTGTTTTGTTTTGCAGCCTACGTGTGATCATAAATGAGAGTCTTCCACCTGTGCTTTGAAATTATTTTCTTTTAGAGAAACAAAAATTTGGAGCGGGTGCATATTTCCTGAGTGCTCCCTGGCCATTTCTTAGCTAAAGCACGCAGTTAAATCTTTGACCAGCAGGGAGAGCACAAGCTTGGAAGTTTGTAGCCTTCTATCTAGTCTTAGACCCAGGAGGGAAAGAAGAGGAAACTTTGAAAAAGGCAAAGATACTCAGGGAAAGCATAGACACGCCATCTCTGGGTGTATTCTGCAGATCCTGTATTTAGTCTTAAATGTTCAGACAATCAGGAATTATTGCCTGGCTTTTTGTCCTACCCAAGCCACTTGAACCCCTGAGCCTCAGTTTCGTCATCAGTGAAATAGGGATACGGATATTGACCCCAGTAGACCTTGAGAAATCATTCTAAGACTCGAAAGATAATATTTTAGCAGGTTTTGGAGATTGTCCAGAGTTCTTAGGCCCCTGAAGGACCATTCTCATTGATATTGAAAGAACCACTTTTCTTCTATTTTTCTTCCCATGAACACAAGTGGCCTTTGGATGGTATGCATTTTCTACTTTGACAAAGGAACTACATGTGTATGTGTACGTATAATTAACGTATGCAGTTGTGTTCCCAGTACTCAGGGCAAAAACATGACTATCGCATAGCTTCGGGTGCCTGTTGTTGCCGTAAGAGCAGAGCTGGAAAAATGTTTGCTAGCTTGTGGTAAAACCGCTCCAGCTGGCAAGCTGCAGCTATCAAAGGAAAACTAAATACGTGTGTCCTAAAATAAGACTATAGTGGACAATCTAACATTCATGGAATCAATTTCTGTTTGCTTTTTTCTCTTCCCTGCAGATTTTAAGCAAAATTTTGGACTGTGAATCAAGGCATTGGGTAAGTAAATCTAATTATATGCTTTAAAATTTTGTGGACAAACTGTTTCCTTTGACTTTGCCGATGCATGTGTTGCTGTGAACTTGGCCACTTTTCGTGAGATGAGAGAAAGGATGGCCAGGTCCCTCTCCCTCACCCATTTACCCCTCTGTTAGACTATCTTAACTGTGCTGTGATCATTCATACCCTCACTCATTTCTTAGTTCCGAGCCAATGTAGCCACCTACTATGCACCAGCAATGTGCCAGGAGCTCGAAGTACATTCAGACAATTGTAAAGCCTAAAAGAGGAAGAAACAGATGGTGGCTGGGATAATGAAATGAGATCCTGACAAGAATAGCTGCGATTTTTGAGAACCTGCTATGGACCAGGCACAGATCTCTAAATTTTACAACCACATAGGTATTACTCCTCCCATTTTGGGAAACCAAAGCCCAGGAACAGTAAACAATCTGCCCCAAGTCACACAGCTAGCAAAAGATAAAGCTGGCGTGCTAACCTTCAAATCGTGGTTTCTCACCCTCACTGCCTCTCCGCACTTGGCGGAGTACTGGGTATGTGGGAAAAGCACTCTACAAATATTCATTCACTTCCGCTTTCCCCAAAAGGGCTTTCTATTCCAACTTGTTAGAGAAAGATTCTTTTTCCCATCTTACAGATGTGAACAGTAATGCCCAGAGATGGGCCCACAAATGGGTCAAAGACCCAACACAAGGGACCTTGGTGTGTTAGCAGGCTGCGCCACCTGTCTTCACAGCCCTGGTAGAGCAGGAATCAGGTTCTGGAGAATTCAACAAGATTTTGACCCTTTTCTTTCCAGGTGAAGACAAAATGGCATCCCCGGCTGACAGCTGTATCCAGTTCACCCGCCATGCCAGTGACGTTCTTCTCAACCTTAATCGCCTCCGGAGCCGTGACATCTTGACTGATGTTGTCATCGTGGTGAGCCGTGAGCAGTTCAGAGCCCATAAGACAGTCCTCATGGCCTGCAGGTGAGGGGCCGGGAGGGGAAAGACGGTTGTATAGAAGGGCGCGATGGTGTGGGCAGGTAGCAAGGCAGGTCGAGTGGGCCTTTTGCTGTGTTTAGAATTACGTCTAGTTTGTCTCCAGACCGCCAGCGCATCTGGCCTGGTGGAGTAGGTTCCCAGGAAATGAATGAATGAACACACGTTTGGAGAAGAAAGAGTTTCTGTTCTGTGGGAAGCGAGGGAGCAGAAATGGTAGACTGTCTCTAGAAAGGATGTGTTTGGAACAAACACGGAGAATAACTTCAGTTAACCAGTGAAGAAAGGAGAAGTGAAAGGGGGTTTTTCAGTATTTGAAGCAAGTGAATTTGAAGTCTTTTGCCCTTTTACTCTATAACTGCATGTATTTTATCCTGTGGCTATCTTTCCATGGGTGTTTCAGGCTATGTGTGTAAGTTAGGGAGAGAGAGCCGGCCGATTCTTCCTAACTGTTGAGTGTTTCAAGTTTTTGGAGCTAGTTCACATTACATCATCTCCCTGAATCTCTGCAGTGGCCTTCTGTGTTATGGAGGCATAATTACTTCCCTTTTATAGACAATAAAACGAAGGTACAGATAAGTGAGCTGATGTAAAGTCGGGGGTCTCTACTGCCAGAAGAGAGCTTACTCAAGCTCTACAGCAAACGCCTGTGTTTTAGTAGTGATGAGAACAGAGGTTTACAGAGATATAAAAGTAACAGAAAATGCTAACCTAGAGCTTACTCTGTGCCAGGCATGCACGACCCTGTCAGGTAGACTCTATTGTTCCTGCTTTGCAGGGAAGGAAACTAGGGTGCAAAGAAGTTAAGTAGCTTGCCCAAGGTTGCACAGCTACTTACTGGTTAAAGTCTGGCTCACTTCTGGCAACCCATTCAGAAAGAGCAGCATTGAGATGCCAGCCCGAATCCTGACTTGTAATTGAGCCTTCTTTCCTCTACCAGACAACATGGTCCCTGGAGGCATGGCTTGAGGTTTGACTTGTGTCTCCTAGGAATATTGACCTTATGGAAGTCTGTGGGCTTTTAGAAAATCAGTAGACTGTAGATGTAGGCACCATTTTATTTATTTATCGCCGATACCCAAGTTGTTTCTAAAAACAGACAATGACACTTTAAAAATAAGGATCATGTGTTGGAATAGGAAGAGAAATGCTTATTCCAAAGTTATAGACTAAAAATGGTTACTGCAAATGAGTGCTAAATTTCACTCTGTGACTCTGAGAACATCATTTACCTTCTGATCTTGGTTCCCCCACTTGTAGAGGGGAGAGTGATAATATCTACCTTGCAAGGTTGTGAGGAACACAGGATAATGTATGTAAAGTGCTTAATGACTCTCTGGTATTTAGTAAGCTCTTCGTAAATGGCAGTTATTATTAATTGCTGTGGAAGTTCTGGAGCGAGGCCCAGGGAAGAGGAGCTGAGCCTTGACACTGACTATAATTGATTGCCAGTTCTGTCCATTCTTGTGACACGTGTGTTTGTGTTATAGTGGCCTGTTCTATAGCATCTTCACGGACCAGCTGAAGTGTAACCTGAGTGTGATCAACCTGGATCCTGAGATCAACCCTGAGGGGTTCTGCATCCTCCTGGACTTCATGTACACGTCCCGGCTCAATCTGCGGGAGGGCAACATCATGGCCGTGATGGCCACGGCAATGTACCTGCAGATGGAGCACGTTGTGGACACTTGCCGGAAGTTTATCAAGGCCAGGTGAGCTGCCATGGAGGGAGAAGCCCTTGGGAGTGGAAGACATCTGAAATCCTTGATAATGCATGCATATCCTCTACAATATGCCACAGCCTACGTTTCCACTAGCTTTTGCACACTTCTGCCTTCTTAATTCTTGCTCTGCTATCCAGATATGCCCTGTGCATTCATTCCCCTCTTGCTTTCTTCGTTCGTTGGATGGGCCCTTTCCTCCCACCCATCCCGCCAGGCCAAGCTTGGAAGCGGGCTCCTCTGTGGACGTTTTCCAATTGCCACTCTTCCTCCCTCAGCTCTCCTTCTGTATCCCTAAGCCATCTGCCTGTCCTTCAGACCTTCCTTCCATTTTCACTATTTGCGTATGTGTTTTAGTTCTCCTTTAGACTTCTATTATAATGATTTGCATATGTGCCTTAGTTCCCCCACCAGACTGTGGGCTGCTTTTCTCATCTTTTATGTTGCCCCGCTCCTACAAGAGAGGACATTTATTGAACTAAATTGAGTTCACTGGGTCTAATCCCGTCCTTGAAGGCCAGTCGGACATGGCCATCATTTAAAGGGGGGGGATCCTGAGAGCCCACAAAGTGAAGGGCTTTGCTAAGTGGAACAGAAACTTGGGGCTTTACTTTTTTAGCACCATTTGATTCAGCTGTTCTAGGGTGATCGCCTCCCTTATGAAACAGGAGGGTTTCCAGCCTCTGTTTGATCACCTCCAGGATCCAGGAACCCAGTGTTCCCAGAGCCGCACTGACTACCTCGGACCGTTAGAAAGCTCCTCTTGATGGCGAGTTGAAATCTGGCCCTCTTAACCTTCACTCATTGGTTCCAGCTCTGTTAACTGTGATCATGGTGAGCTGGCCTATTTTTCCCCCACATAACGTCCCTTCAAGTATGTGCAGCGAGAGCTTGTTGTCTCCTGTGGGTGATAATGGTAGCGAGGTTATCATTGCGGTCATTTTCGAGTACTTTCTCTGGGTCAGGCCTTGTGCTTGGAGGGGTGAAGCAACTTGCTCCAGGGCCCATTGCCGCTAAGTGGCCCAACTGGGACTGGAAAGCAGGTCTGGCTGCTGCCGGTCCTCCAAAGAAAACTCCTCCCAAGACTCTAGGCAGCTTACAGGCTGAGTCCCTTCTCCCATGGGCCACCAGTTTGTCTGTGACTCTCTGAACATGCATTGTGTAACTTCTTCTTTCCCTGAGCCTCCATTTCCATGTGTGTAAAATGGAGACAGTAATGCCTTTCTTCCTTTGCAGGATTTTGCATGGATGAACTAAGGGCTCTGAAAGCTTTACATTCTGTAATATCTGAAGAATTACAGATTCACGCACATATACACAGAATGTGGCTTAAACATGTGATCGCATGTCTAAGCGGGCACAGCTTGTGGGGCTGACTCGCTGCCCTTGTCTGGGTCCAGTCTCCCGCACTGCGGGCTAGCTTGCTAGATTTCTAGCATAAAAGCCTTGTGACTGCAAGGATTTCCCTATTCCAGAGCCACATCCCTCATGTCTAGCTGACCAAGCACAAATGTGGCTACCTAACACCAGTGTCGCTCAGAAAGTCCTCTGTTCAGCAGTTCTCATTTGGAGGCCCGGGTCTCCTCTCTGTTTTCTCCTGCAGTGAAGCAGAGATGGTTCCTGCCATCAAGCCTCCCCGTGAAGAGTTTCTGAATAGCCGGATGCTGATGCCCCAAGACATCATGGCCTATCGGAGTCGTGAGGTGGTGGAGAATAACCTACCGCTGAGGAACGCCCCAGGGTGCGAGAGCAGGGCCTTCGCCCCTAGCCTGTACAGCGGCCTGTCCACCCCGCCGGCCTCTTACCCCGTCTACAGTCACCTCCCGGTCAGCAGCTTCCTCTTCTCTGACGAGGAGCTGCGGGATGCCCGGATGCCTGTGGCCAACCCCTTCCCTAAGGAGCGGGCCCACCCCTGCGATAGTGCCAGGCCCGTCCCTGGCGACTACAGCCGGCCGGCCCTGGAGAGAACTCCCAGCGTATGCCACAGCGGCATCTACTCACCCAAGGAGGCAGCCCCAGAGGAGACACGCAGTGACATGCACTACGGCGTGGCCGAGGGCCCCAAGCCTGCCGCCCCCTCGGCCCGGAATGCCCCGTACTTCCCCTGTGACAAGGCTGGCAAGGAGGAAGAGAGGCCCTCCTCGGAGGATGAGATCGCCCTGCATTTTGAGCCCCCCAGTGCACCCCTGAACCGCAAGGGTCTGGTCAGCCCCCAGAGCCCCCAGAAGTCCGACTGCCAGCCCAACTCGCCCACGGAGTCCTGCAGTAGCAAGAATGCCTGCATCCTCCAGACCTCTGGTTCACCTCCAGCCAAGAGCCCCACCGACCCCAAAGCCTGCAACTGGAAGAAATACAAGTTCATTGTGCTCAACAGCCTCAACCAGAATGCCAAACCAGAGGGACCTGAGCAGGCCGAGCTGGGCCGCCTCTCCCCTCGAGCCTACACCGCCCCACCGGCCTGCCAGCCACCCATGGAGCCCGAGAGCCTTGACCTCCAGTCCCCAACCAAGCTCAGCGTCAGCGGGGAGCACTCCACCATCCCACAGGCCAGCCGGCTCAATAACATCGTCAACAGGTGCTTTCAGAGGGGGTCTGGGCCTGGGGTCAGGGCTTCCCACGGGGGCCACTTCTTCCGATGGACGCAGGGGCTGTGTCTGTCCTTTCTTGCCTGAATACTGGGTATATTATGGGTGTGGAGTAAGTATCCACTGACTGAATTGGCCTCGGTAAGGAAGCATATTAACATCAGGGATCTCAGGGCATACGCTGTTTGGAGGTGGGCTCAAGGATAACTTTGTGGCCCCGAATCCAGAGGGAGGTGGCCCAGCTCTGGCCTCTGGGTTCACCTGAGCATGGGAAGGAGGGGGCAGCATCCAGGCCAGGTGGAGTGCTCTACCCTCTCCAGCTGCTGAGGCTCTCTTTCCTCCTGCCCACAGGTCCCTGACAGGCTCCCCCCGCAGCAACAGCGAGAGCCACTCACCGCTCTACTTGCACCCCCCCAAGTGCACGTCGTGCGGCTCTCAGTCCCCGCAGCATGCAGAGATGTGCCTCCACACCGCTGGCCCCACATTCCCCGAGGAGATGGGAGAGACCCAGTCTGAGTACTCGGATTCCAGCTGTGGTGGGTCCCTTCCCGGGGAGAAGGAAGGTCCCTGCCTCTGCTCTGTGGGGTTTGCGTTTCCATTTCACTTATGCTCTTGTCACTGATTGGGAGAAGTCCCCGACTGGAAGGTCACTGGCCCTTAAAATCACCGGCCCGTCCCCCTGCTCTTGACCTCTTGAACCAGGCTGATCTGAGCAAGGGATGAGGTATTGGAGTTAGTCTGGGGTAACAGAGAATGACCCCCTTTTCACCTGCACTGTAGCCAAGGTAGCCTGGGGGAGCGGCTCTAACTCCCAGAGCTTCCTCAGTCCCTCGGGACCCAACTGCCAGGACTGACCTGGGTCGGCCCCCCCTGCTGGGCCATGCGTTCTGTAAGGACAAGCCCCTGACCTTCCTCGTGCCTGTGTCTCCCATAGGTCCGAGGGAGTTTCTAACATGGAGTAGGTGCTCAGCTGACGTTAGCTGAATTAGGTTAGTTGAGCTGAATTATTAAACTGAAGTTTTGGACACTCTGTGATTGGCATCTCCAGTTTTTATTAGATAAGAAAGTCTGTCTTTTCCCTCAAGCTCTGGCTGCGGTAGGATAGCCCAGTCATGCCTAATCGGGGGTGAGCCCCCGTGACATGTCATTTTCAAAATGTTCTAACAGAAGGGAAAAATCAGTTACTTACACCGTGAGATTTGGCACAGGGTTGTGGACGTGTAGTTGGGAGAGCAGGGACTGTCCCCGTCTGTCCCCCTGGCTATTGGCCCTTTCTCTGCATCCAGTCCCTTTTCTCTGGGCTGCCGTTTCTACTTCCATCCTTGTTGGCTCTCCCAATATCATAGAAGTGTTTGGGGGACATGAAATCCAGAGAGATACAGGGTGACCCTGTTCACGGTTACTTCCTCCTTCAATGGCCTCCACGTACCATTGGATTTTATACCTCACATTCCTAGAACACTTTGTGGTATACAGTATGCTCCTGTGAGGTGGGCAGCCTGGGGGTTGACTATCCTGATTCTGGAGATAGAGACACAGATAGGCTCAGAGAGGTGAAGGGTCTTGCTTGAGGGCCCCTGTGTATGGATGTAAATAAAACAATGAACTGAGAAGAAAAGTCAGTTCTCAGAGCTCTCTAGAGAAGGAGGAGCCCTGCTGAGCTTTCCTGAAGTTGGCATAGGCCATATGGGTAGCTGTTGGTTTGAGTTTCCCCTCTGTACCTTAATATTCAACTCTGTCCCCTTTCTCCTCCATGACGGAGACTCTAAATGCTCAGAAAAATAAAACTCACACAGGCCCGGAATGTCGGGTGGGTGGAGCTTGGGGGTTCCATATGGCCCTGAGGGCAACTGCAAAGGGGAGTGGCCTTAGAGCCCTACCTCCCTTCCCTTTCTAACGGTGGTGTCCCGTCCCCCGCCCACCTCCGACAGAGAACGGGGCCTTCTTTTGCAATGAGTGTGACTGCCGCTTCTCTGAGGAGGCCTCACTCAAGAGACACACGCTGCAGACCCACAGTGACAAACCCTACAAGTGTGACCGCTGCCAGGCCTCCTTCCGCTACAAGGGTAACCTCGCCAGCCACAAGACCGTCCACACGGGTATGCCCCCTCCCCCCGCCCCCCGCCACAGCTGGGCAGGGTTCCTGGGAGCAGGATGGGGGGAGGACCCTAGAGAAAGCAGTGTGGGGCCTTGTTCCCCCGGCGGGCAGGGAGCAGGCCCTGCTCTGATCTGGATGTGGGCCTAACCCTGTCTTGTCTTTGCCTGGCAACTCCTCCACTCCCTGTGTTCTTTGTCTTTTCTCCGAGGCACTCTGTCCTGCTTCTCTAGCGTTGTGCGGCAGAATTGTTAATCCCAACGCACAAGTGAAGCAACCAAGGCTGAGAGAGGCAAAGTAGATAGGGTTTTTGTTACCCCAGAAAAAAAAATTAAAAGCCTCTTGATTTCCTCTCAGGGCTTGCTCCTTATCAACTCACATTCCTTTACCAGGTAGCTTCTAATAACCCGACTGTTGTCCACAGTTGACCCTCTCTTGGTGTCCATTATCCCAGAAACTTTCCACAAAGGAAGGCTCAGCCCTTCTATTGGCTTCCCCAGCCTGAGCATCTACTCTGACTCAGGCCCCAGGCTTCTTGCAAATGGAATCCAGCTGTCGTTCCCACAAGCGGAAAAGCATGTTTTTTCTAAAAGAGAAACTAGAGCAGCCTGATTGTGTCTTCCTGGTGAAGGGCTTGATTCCTGAATCAGTCTAGTCCTAGGGAAGAGCTGGAAGAGACTGACTCTGTCATCTAAATTCACCCCTCAAGTTCTGGAGAGGGAAACTGAGGTCCAGAGAAGGAGAGTGACTTGTCCAAGTCTGCAGTTAGATGATCTTAATGACACAGCTGTTTCAAAGGCCTCCTGGAACCTCCCCCCACTCCCTGTCCCACCCCCAGTGTTGTGTCCCCTCTGCCCCAGCCTGCTCCTTGACCCTGGCTGCCTGCAGCCTGTGGTGGTATGGTGTGTGCTTGGCAAGGGCAGGAAAGTGATAAGCCCCCTGGATCCTCTCTCAGACATCTTCCAAAGGAGAGAAAGCTGAGGTGGCCCAGGAAGGGCAGTTTGCTCTGAGATCCAGGGACCTGCGACTGTGGAGACCTCCGTCAGATATAGCTTTCTTTGTTCCCTTTCTTTCGGGAATAGGTGAGAAACCCTATCGTTGTAACATTTGTGGAGCCCAGTTCAACCGACCAGCCAACCTGAAAACCCATACTCGAATTCACTCTGGAGAGAAGCCCTACAAATGCGAAACCTGTGGAGCCAGATTTGTACAAGTGAGCAGGGCCATGGGGAAAAGACCCCTCAGCCTCTGTGTGCTGAAGAGGGGGTTCCTGGGGGAGGGGGCCACAGCCCACCCCAACAGAGCCTCTCACGCTTTGCTCTTCCGTTCAGGTGGCCCACCTCCGTGCCCACGTGCTCATCCACACTGGAGAGAAGCCCTATCCCTGTGAAATCTGTGGCACTCGTTTCCGGCACCTTCAGACTCTGAAGAGCCACCTGCGAATCCACACAGGAGAGAAACCTTACCATGTATGTGAGCCTCTTGTGGCCATCAGCTGGCCTGGGAGGGGCTTGGCGGGGAGGGGCAGGCAGCAGAACTGTTTGCTCCAATCTCAAGCACACAGTGGGATGACCACTGAACTAATGGCCCTAAGACCTGGCTTAGGGCTGGTTGTCAGACACGCTGCTGGACATTGGCTGTGTCTCAGTTTGCTCATCTGTAAAGTGGGGATACTGGGCTAGGTGATCTGGGCCCTAGGAAAGAGTTCCAAACTATAGATACATTGATTTGGGGATCATTCATTCATTCCACACTAATTAGCTTCTTACAGTATGTCTCTATGCTGGACTAGATGTCCACTTAAGAGGACCTAAGGTGTTTGAGAAGGGGCAGCCATAGGAGTGGGAGGAGAATCAGAAAAATGTGGTGATAGAAGAAAAAAAAGGCAGGGAAAAGGCCATTATAAGAAGGAGCAGGTGGCCAGCTACACAGCAGGGTACCATGAATGGGCCATTGGAATCCTCGTGTTCTGGAGGAGGGTTTCAGCCAACCATGGCTTGCGGGCTAATTTTTGAGCATTTCATGAGCTAGGTTCTAATATCTTTAAATGGCTACAAGATGGAGAAATAATATTTTGTGACATGTGCAAATTACATAAAATTTAATTTTCAATGTCCATAAGCAAAGTTTTATTGGGACACAGCCATGTCCATTTGTTTACATATTATCCATGGGGACTTTCCTACCACAGGCGCAGAGTCATCATTGCGATATATTCACTATCCGGCTCTTTCCCGGTTAAAAATAGTTTTCTATCTCTGCTATAGAGGGGAGAGATACTGGCCGGGCTGCTGGGATATCTGGTTCTTATTCTGACTCTGACGCCAGCCCTTTTTAGGGCCATAGGCAAGCCTGACCCTCTCTCAGGGGACCACGATTTTCTTTCTGTGTAAAAGGATAAGGATGCTGTAGGGGAGCAGTTTTCAGACTGGGCTCTTTCAGTCAACCCCACAGCCTCTTTTACCTTTTGAGTTTCTATTGAATTTGAAAAGAGAGTCCTACGGTTTACAGGCGTGGAAACCCCCGTGACCAATGACCCTGCTCTGGGGGGTTTGTGGTATCACCGTAGATAGTGACGGACACAAGAACGAACCGATGAATGGTTAACCCATATCACAAATGGGAACCTGCAAAATGTAGGTATTTTCATCCACTTGTTTATCAGTCCCTGAGTATCTTCTCACTTGCTTTTTGTTCTTGGGCACATTAGTTTTCCTCTCGATACCCTTATTTGCTCATCTGTAAAACGAGCCTGATAATAGTACCTGTCCCACGGAGTCGTTGTATTCAGTTAACAAATTCGCTCAAGTGTCAGGATAGTCTTTGGCACACAATAGAGTACAATAAATATTTGCTAGAAGTTTAGACGCACCCATGTCGAGTTAGGAGTGACCTGCAGAGCGTGTCGACTCAGTCCTTCATTGAAGGGAAAGCCAAGGCCCGTGGAGAGAAATGATGTGCTTGGCTGGGGAAGAGCAGTAGCAACACTTCACCGCTTTAGAAAACAGCGAAGGGACATTTGCACAAAGCTTCCTTATCGCTTAGATGGAGCCTGAATTCTTAACCTGGCCTTCCAGAGGGAAGAGCCGCCCAGATCCCTCACAGGGAGAATCTCCCTCTCTGGGTCTCCGAGCAATGATACGTTCCTGGGGTTGGTGACAGCTAACAGTTTGCCTCTGATTTTCCTTCAGTGTGAGAAGTGCAACCTGCATTTCCGTCACAAAAGCCAGCTGCGTCTTCACTTGCGCCAAAAGCATGGCGCCATCACCAACACCAAGGTGCAATACCGCGTGTCCGCCACTGACCTGCCCCCGGAGCTCCCCAAAGCCTGCTGAAGCATGGAGTGTTGATGCTTTCCATTCGAGTCCCTTCTCAGAATCTACCCAAAGGATACTGTAACACTTTACAATGTTCATCCCATGATGTAGTGCCTCTTTCATCCACTAGTGCAAATCATAGCTGGGGTGGGGGTGGGGGGAGGGGGCGTGGGGACTGGGGGCCAAGGCAGCTCCCCTTCCCCCACTGCCATAAAACATTAATAATATTGCTTCTTCTCCTATGTGTAAGGCAAACCATGTCAGCAAAAAGCAAAATCATTTTATATATCAAAGTGGGGGAGTATGCAAAAGTTCTGACTTGACTTGGTCTGCAAAATGAGGAATGTATATGTTTTGTGGGGACAGATGTTTCTTTTGTATGTAAATGTGCATTCTTTTAAAAGAAGAGACTTCAGTATGTTATCAAAGAGAGGGCTTTAATTTTTTTAACCAAAGGTGAAGGAATATATGGCAGAGTTGTAAATATATAAATATATATATATATAAAATAAATATATATAAACCTAAAAAAGATATATTAAAAATATAAAACTGCGTTAAAGGCTCGATTTTGTATCTGCAGGCAGACACGGATCTGAGAATCTTTATTGAGAAAGAGCACTTAAGAGAATATTTTAAGTATTGCATCTGTATAAGTAAGAAAATATTTTGTCTAAAATGCCTCAGTGTATTTGTATTTTTTTGCAAGTGAAGGTTTACAATTTACAAAGTGTGTATTAAAAAAAAAAAAAAAGAACAAAAAAAAGCTACCGAAGGAAAAATGTGTAGTTTTGTTCTAGTTTTCAGTTTGTATATACCTGTACAACGTGTCCTACGGTGCCTTTTTTCATGGAAGTTTTCAGTGATGGACGAGCGCGCCATCCCTTCTGAAGTGTAGGCAGACACAGGGACTTGAAGTTGTCGCTCACTAAGCTCTCTTTGGGAATGTTTGTCTCATCACATTCTGCGTCATGCTTGTGTTAGAACTACTCCGGAGACAGGGTTTGGCTGTGTCTAAACTGCATTACTGCGTTGTAAAATATAGCTGTACAAATACAAGAATAAAATGTAGAAAAGTCAAGTGGGCTCTTTCCAGAGGTCTTTCCTTGTGTTGGGATCAGGACTGGAATGCATCTGGTTTCCTCGGCTCTGAATCTCGCGGGAGATGCTCATGGAGAGGAGTGGCTGCTGGGGTCTCGGGCAGGCTGAGGCTGGGGCTGGCTCCTGGACACTGGGCAGGGACCCACTGTTGACTCCCAGACTGGGACGGGCTGCAGGCTCCAGACCCTGGTCATGAGGCGCTCCGGCGGGGGGTGTGGGATGGACCGCCTCTCACCTCTCTTTCTGGCTGGTTCTCGCTTCTGTCTGTTTTTCACTCAGAGCTCTAGGCTGAGCTTTCATGATTTCCCTTCTCGCCCTTCTGACATGAAGGTATAGGCGTCCTTTCCTTCTCTGTGTCTTGGAGAATTTGCCCATTCTGTGAAGGCTCCTCTGCCTCCTGGCTTCATAAACAATTTCTCTCTGCTGGGGTCCAGGGGACAATATGAAGTCAGGTCTGGCCCCATCATACATTTCTCAGCCTGGTACCTGCTGTGTGATTGACAATTGACAGGTATGTATAGACTCAGAAGCTTTATGAATGGCGACCAGCCAAGCAAACCTCCATCCCTGGAGAAGTGCTCTTTGTCCAGAGAATTTTGGTGGAAGGCAGCCATTTCCTCCTGTGTGACCTGGGACAACCGTTTCCCCTTTGTGTCCCTTTCCCAACCTGTCCAATGAGAGGATTAGATTAACTACATCATTTATGAGTCCATGAATCAGACATAAGTTCACCCTAGCTTGCTTTGGCATCCAGTTTTGTTTCACCTCAAAAAGCCCCAAGGTTCAAGTTTGATTGATGAGACCTAAGAGCAGTGAGGACAAGTGCGGTCCTGGGCCCCGGCCCAGAGGAGAAAGTCCGTACTTGCCTTCTTCTGGTTCCTGGGTGGCTGTGGGGCGGGGCCGTGGAGCGGAGCCCCTCCCTGGGCCCTTTGGCCGGTGGTTGGACAGAGGTGGCCCCTGGCAGGGCCTTTGCAGCAGGCTCCAGGCATGTGCTGAGAGGTTTGTGGGGGCTGAGCACCCAAAGCCCCAGAGAGAGCCTCACAAAGTCACACGACCCTCTGCCAGCCACATGGCCTTTTGGTTCAGGTTTCCTTTCAAAATGACTTTAGAGGACTTGCCAGCTCGAGGCCTCAGCTCACCCTGCTCTTTGAAAAGGGAGAAGATGATCCCTCTGCTCCCATAGAAACTTGGCAAAAGAACTTACAAAACAGACTGCTTCAGAAATGACAATTCACAGGCCGGAGGGCGGCTGGCCCAGGCCCCTCTGTTCCCAGAGGGCCTCCGAATTCGTTTATGTGTCATTACTGTTTAATAGAGAGACGATGGGCCCAGGGCAGACAGTGTGGGTGGCGTTCAAGTTCAAACAAAATGGAAGATCAAAGAGTAACTGGAGCCAATCGACAATCAATAATAAGTAAAAAGCAAACATCTCTAAACAGATAAGCTAGGCCAAGGACATACAGAATTTTTATTTAAAAGGCAAGCATGACATGAATGTCACGTTTTACAAATATGTAACTTATAGAACGGGGGGGCGCATGATGTTCTTCTCTATATTGTTGGAATTTTGGAGGAAAAGTTTCTGGAGACCAGGTTGGTGGTTGGAGGCAAAATGTGGAGAGGCAGGGAACTTAGAATCAAGCAGAACTACTAAGGAGCTGGAAAGGATGAGATAGTAAGGATCACCTAACTCAAATCTGTCATTGCCCCATGAAGGGACTGAGGCAGGAGAGATGAGGAAAGTTGCTTACTGTCCCCTCTCTTGGTGTGGACTGTCCCCTCTCTTGGTGTGGACCTTTGTATAAATGACCACATTCAATTCTCACAGCCACCCTTCAGAGTAAGGTTTCAGGCGGCTGGAAACCACATGCCCATCTCAGACACTCCCAGACAGTGCCCCCAGAGCTACAACTCAACCTAGAGGTCCATAATAACACCTCAAGCTGCACCCGCCCACAAAATTTTCCCGAAGAAAATTGTCCTCAGCCCCTGGAGAAGAGCCAGAACTTGGGCAGCCATATCGCACATCATGCAACCCTCCCCCTCCCCCCCCACCACTGATTTGTCTAAGGGCGGACACTGGATCCAAGGGCAGCCAGCCCCCCCCCGCCCCCCGAGGGCCTGCAGCCCTATTACAGCACCTAAAGTGTGATGTAAATATGTAAATAGGGGTGCTAATGAGTTGGGCCACCACTAAGGTTGTGTGTTCTGGGAGTTTATAGTGAAATGTAGAGACAGGCAGCCACTCCAGTGTTTCTCAGACTTTGGTCATTTGTGACCCACCTCCATGATTTTGCTATAGCATCACACCCTGATTATTTATGTACTGTTTTCCTTTAAATCAATATATTTCTTAGGTATGCATTTTCCCCAAATATAAATTAAATTAAATTAAATTAAGTACTAAGTGCATTCAAAATAAAAATGTTCACTCATGTGTCTTCACTTCCGCTGCCTCGTGTTCTACCAGGAGCATGCTTCAGAGAACACTACAGGGGTGAGAAGTGGAGAGATGCCGACAGAAGTGAATCCCTGGAGGGTATTGGGGTCGCATTAATGGCAGAGCACTGGAGTGAGGTCCCCAGAGGAAGCTTGGAAGTAGAATGACCTTCTAGTACCTGGTTCTATGAAGCTTGTCATTTAGTGGGAGTATCTCGTCTTAGATTTCTAAAAGAGTCCATCCCTCTTATAAGCACTTGTCAATCAGGTCCCTGCCTCCACTGCTATACCACCTGCCATTACTTGGACTGGTTTGTGTGAGTCCCTGTTTTCTGGAACCAGAAGAGTGCGATTTACCCAGTTGCTCAGGCCTCTGGGGTATCTGCCATTAGGAAGATTCTTAGAGACTCTTAGATTGGGTCTAGGCTTCTCCCTAGTGGAGGCTGAGGCATGTTGTGATCCCTCAGAGGTAAGACAAGTGAGCTACTCAAAATTCTATAGCCACTCGGAAAGACAGTGTTGTTCCCCCAAGCCCCCAAAGCAGCCACGGGTGGATTCTACCAGGCACCCTGGAGCCCAGCCCTGCTGTGGGCACAGGGTCCAGAACATGCAGTATAGCATCACTGAAGGAGGATGAAGCATCCACAGTCACTAAGGGAGAGGCCTTATAGACAGGCGGGTGCTGAAGCGGGAAGCCCCGTCTAGGAAGGGGACCCAAAGGGGCTGGGAGCCCCTACAGTACTATGTTGGCCCCTGAGGTCTTGGGGTCTAGCCCTCTCATTAAATGAGTCTGACACATTTAACCCCAAAAGCCTGGCTTGTCAGCACATCTCAAGATAAGTTTCCTGAGTCTCCCTTCCTTTTGCATCCTAAGCAAGCAGGTTGGTTAAATAACAAGGTTGCTAAGAGTCAGAGTCACAGAATATTGTGACTAGATGGGGCCTTGGAGATTATGCTCCTAACTGACGGATGAAGACACTAGGTGCAGAGGGAAGAAGGGACATCCCTAAGGTCACAGCAAGAATTTTTTTAAAGATTTTATTTATTTGAGAGAGAGAGAACACAAGCAGGGGGAGTAGCAGAGGGAGAGGGAGAAGTAGGCTCCCCACTCGGGGCTCGATCCCAGAACCCCAGGATCATGACCTAAGCTGAAGGCAGACACTTAACTGACTGAGCCAACCAGGCACCCCCAAGCCAAGAATTTTTATCAACAGGGGCCCCTGATTCCACTTCGGTTTATGGCATCATCCCAGCCTTCAAGGAGTGTGTGGTCAAATTGGGAAAACAAAACATGGACAAATATGGAGGTAACATCACAAAGAAACACAGAGATATAACATTATGGCTAATGAGTGACAGTCCTGAACAGGGTGATGTTCAGAATGTCAAGTTGTTCCTTCAGGCCATAGGAGGCCGACAGCCTAATGAGCTGGAGGCCAAGCAGGACCATTCTCGGGGCTTTCACACGTCTCCCTCCTTCCTGTGGGACTGCAGTGCCTCCTGCTGTCTAGAAAGAGCTGTCCTCCTTGATGTCACCAATAGGAGCCACCTCTGCAGTTGGCTCAGTTTCAGCTGCTGTCACACAAACTGAGTGGCCCAGACAACAGAAGGGTATTGTCCCACAGATCTGGAGGATGGAAGTCTCAGATCAAGGTGTTGCAGGGTTGGATTCTTCTGAGAGCTTATCCCAGTCTTTTCCCCTAGCTCCTGGCAGTTTGCTGACAATCCTTAGCACTCCTTTGCTGGTAGAAGCATCACCTCGGTCTCTGTCTTCACCTTTACATTCTCCCTGCATGTATGTCCCTGTGTCCCACCTTCCAGTTTTTATGTGGACATCAATCAAATTGGTGTAGGGCCCACCCTAAGGGCCTCATCTTAACTAATTACTTCTGCAACGACCCTATTTCCAAATCAGGTCACATTCTGAGGTTCTGGGGGTTAGAATTTCAACATATGAATTTTAAGGGGACACAATTGAACCCATGACAGGGATTGTTGGTAGGAGAGGGGATGGTGAGATGCTCTCAGAAGAGCACAATCCTCACCTTCCCTTTGCACTTTCTCCCTGCTGCCAAAGGTGAAGGGAATTGAGATTTGGAGGATGTTCTCGATGCCCGGCACTGGGGTTTGCACTCATGGTTTCAGTCCCCTGCACCACAGCCCACTGCAGGGGGGCTCGAGTGACCTCTTACAGGTGAGGAGGATGAGATGCAGAGAGACCAGGTCACTTGGCTGAGGTCAGGCAATGCTTCTCCACTTCTCCTCCACCCAACTGTGTTCTTCATATCTCTGGTGGGTCTCACATCAGAAGAACATTAGGGGACAAAGCAACTGTGCTCAGTAACCACACTTTGGTTAAGCAGAAGGGAGAAAAATCTAGATCCATGTAGGTCCCTATGGAATAGGAATTACCGAGGATGTGTATACCAGACCATTACAAGTTTGATAAAAGTCCCTTAACAAGAACGGGAGACTAATAGTCTAATCCAGCAGCTCTTGCCAGAGTGAGCATTTTTTTTTATTCTTATGTTAATCCCCATA